CGCACTTTATCATATTAATGAGCTTTTTTATTCGTAATCCTGGTCAGATCGGGCTGCCAATTTGTCGGCGTGACGCTTGTGGGACTGGCGCCCGGGAGGCGGTCGCAAGAGGGGCGAGGCCTTTCATCGCCGCTTGCGGCTTTAATTCTTTTTCTTTTTTTTTTCCGCAACTTCAATTCGATTTTTGACCCTGAAGACATGCACGAAAGTCTGCACATGGGGGGTCTAAAACGACCGGTTCGGCGAAAAATTTGATAAAATGAACGTTTCCAGATTGTCCGACGCTCGCCGACTCTATAACGCCCCCTAGAAATTTCATTTTTTTGGACCCTCTGGGGATTTTTTTTCAAATTTTTGAGTAGGTATACGAAATTCGGATGAGTGATAGATCTCTATGAGACGAGCATAAAAGCCGTTCTAAGCACATGTCTGGGACCAACAGGAAGTCGGCCATGATGGGCCAAAGTTTCGCCACTAATTTGACTTTTCATTTAGAAATTCGAACTAGTCCCTGGTTTTTCATCACACACAGTTCTACCACGTCATTTCCCAATCTGGACGGATTGAAGTTATATAATCATCGAAAAAAAGTTAGAAAATCTTCACCGTTTTTGTCCCTCGCCATGGCGAATAAGGCCTTCGTTTTGGCCATTTTCGCTGAGCCCTGAGGGCCACAGGCTCAGACCTACAGAGCTGAGACTCACATCAGCACCTACAGAGCTGAGACTCAAATCAGTAATATTAGGTTATGGCCTGAACGCAATGACACTAAAATCATTCGCCCAATTTGAGCTCTTTAGCGCCACCTGTCGGAAAGTAATAGGGCACTAGTGCTCGGATCGGCCCGAAAATCGCTGAGTGTATTCTCTGGACCGACACGAGCAAAACATTACATTACGCAAAAGTTGTAAGTCCTACACCTGACCACTGGGGGCGCTGGAAAGTGAATAAATGAGCTTTTTAGGGCAAAATGTTTGTCCGATGAGGCTAAAAATGAATTCAGAAATACAACGTATGACCCTGAACACAACGATATGCAACACACAACTGTGAGTGCAACAGCGCCACCTACAGGCAGTTCAATGTGTTGCATTTTTGGCTTCGTACTAGTCCCCTGGATTTTCATCGCACAGACTTCTACCATGTCATTTCTATATCTGGACGGATTGAAGTTATGTAATCATCGCATAAAAGTTAGAATTTTGTTATCGTTTTCATGCAAGGTAGTGGGGAATTTCTCCATGTTTGATGCTCTCCTGACCACAGGCTCAGACCTACAGAGCTGAAACTCACATCACTAACAGTTGGTAATGGCCTGAGAGTAATGGTGTGAAAACACACACCTAATATGACTCTACAGCGCCACCTATGTAAGGCTTCTGACCTAAACTTTTCCGATCTTCACCAAAGTTGCAAAATCAAATCTTTACATCTGTACGAGCAAAATACTACTCTACGTAGAGGGTGCATGTCCCGGAGGTGACCACTAGGGACGCACTTTATCATATAAATGAGCTTTTATATATGTAATCCTGGTCAGATCGGGCTGCCAATTCCGTCTGCGTGACGCTAGTGGGACTGGGCGCCCAGGAGGCGGTCGCAAGAGGGCGAGGCCTTTCATCGCCGCTTGCGGCTTTAATGAAAATGTTATTCGGTGGTTTCATATTATTCTTTTTTCCGCCGAAACAATTCGATATTTTTGACCCTGACGACAATGCCGAAAATCTGCACATGGGGGGTCTAAAACGACCGGTCCGGCGAAAAATTTGATAAAACGGACGTTTCCGAGATTGTCCGACAAAAGGCCGAATCAATAGCGCCCCCCTTGAAAATATCAAAATTTTGCCATTTTCTATTGGAGGCAGGATTGGCATAAGTTTTGGAGTAGGTACACGAAATTCGGATGAGTGAGATAGATCTCTATGAGACGAGCATAAAAGCCGGTCTAAAGCACATGTCTGGGACCAACAGGAAGTCGGCCATGATGGGCCAAAGTTTCGCCACTATTTTGACTTTTCATTTATAAATTCGAACTAGTCCCTGGTTTTTCATCACACACAGCTCTACCACGTCATTTCCCGCTCTGGACGGATTGAAGTTATATAATCATCAACAAAAAGTTAGAAAATCTTCACCGTTTTCTTCCCTCGCCATGGCGAATAAGGCCTTCGTTTTGGCCATTTTCGCTGAGCCCTGAGGGCCACAGGCTCAGACCTACAGAGCTGAGACTCACATCAGTAATATTAGGTTATGGCCTGAACGCAATGACACTAAAATCATTCGCCCAATTTGAGCTCTTTAGCGCCACCTGTCGAAAAGTAATAGGGCACTAGTGCTCGGATCGGCCCGAAAATCGCTGAGTGTATTCTCTGGACCGAGACGAGCAAAACATTACATTACGCAAAAGTTGTACGTCCCACACCTGACCACTGGGGGCGCCGGAAAGTGAATAAATGAGCTTTTTGGGCAAAATGTTTGTCCGATGAGGCTAAAAATGAATTCAGAAATACAACGTATGACCCTGAACACAACGATATGCAACATACAACTGTGAGTGCAACAGCGCCACCTACAGGCAGTTCAAGGTGTCGCATTTTTGGCTTCGTACTAGTCCCTGGATTTTCATCGCACAGACTTCTACCATGTCATTTCTCCATCTGGACGGATTTAAGTTATGCAATCATCGCATAAAAGTTAGAATTTTTTATCGTTTTCATGCGAGGTAGTGGGAATTTCTCCATGTTTGATGCTCTCCTGACCACAGGCTCCGACCTACAGAGCTAAAACTCACATTACGTAACAGTTGGTAATGGCCTGAGAGTAATGGTGTGAAAACACACACCTAATATGACTCTACAGCGCCACCTATGGAAGGCTTCTGACCTAAACTTTTCCGATCTTCACAAAAGTTGCAAAATCAAATCTTTACATCTGTACGAGCAAAATACTACTCTACGTAGAGGGTGCATGTCCGGAGGTGACCACTAGGGACGCACTTTATCATATAAATGAGCTTTTATATTCGTAATCCTGGTCAAATCGGGCTGCCAATTCGTCGGCGTGACGCTTGTGGGACTGGCGCCCGGAGGAGGTCGCAAGAGGGGCGAGGCCTTTCATCGCCGCTTGCGGCTTTAATTATTATTCTTATTTATTTTCCGCAACTTCAATTCGATTTTTGACCCTGAAGACATGCACAAAAGTCTGCACATGGGGGGTCTAAAACGACCGGTTCCGCGAAAAATTTGATAAAATGAACGTTTCCAGATTGTCCGACGCGCTCGCCGACTCTATAACGCCCCCTAGAAATTTCATTTTTTTTGACCCTCTGGGGATTTTTTTTCAAATTTTTGAGTAGGTACATGAAATTCGGATGAGTTATAGATCTCTATGAGACGAGCATAAAAGCCGGTCTAAGCACATGTCTGGGACCAACAGGAAGTCGGCCATGATGGGCCAAAGTTTCGCCACTAATTTGACTTTTCATTTAGAAATTCGAACTAGTCCCTGGTTTTTCATCACACAGAGTTCTACCACGTTATTTCCTAATCTGGACGGATTGAAGTTATATAATCATCAAACAAAAGTTAGAAAATCTTCACCGTTTTCGTCCCTCGCCATGGCGAATAAGGCCTTCGTTTTGGCCATTTTCGCTGAGCCCTGAGGGCCACAGGCTCAGACCTACAGAGCTGAGACTCACATCAGTAATATTAGGTTATGGCCTGAACGCAATGACACTAAAATCATTCGCCCAATATGAGCTCTTTAGCGCCACCTGTCGGAAAGTAATAGGGCACTAGTGCTCGGATCGGCCCGAAAATCGCTGAGTGTATTTTCTGGACCGAGTCGAGCAAAACATTACATTACGCAAAAGGTGTAAGTCCTACACCTGACCACTGGGGGCGCCGGAAAAATGAATGAAGGAGCTTTTTGGGGCAAAATCTTTGTCCGATGAGGCTAAAAATGATTTCAGTAATACAGCGTATGACCCTGAACACAACAATATACAACACACAACTGTGAGTGCAACAGCGCCACCTACAGGCAGTTCAAGGTGTCGCATTTTTGGCTTCGTACTAGTCCCTAGATTTTCATCGCACAGACTTCTACCATGTCGTTTCTCCATCGGGACGGATTGAAGTTATGCAATCATCGCATAAAAGTTAGAATTTTGTTATCGTTTTCATGCGACGTAGTGGGGAATTTCTCCATGTTTGATGCTCTCCTGACCACAGGCTCAGACCTACAGAGCTGAAACTCACATCACTAACAGTTGGTAATGACCTGAGAGTAATGGTGTGAAAACACACACCTAATATGACTCTACAGTGCCACCTATGGAAGGCTTCTGACCTAAACTTTTCCGATCTTCACCAAAGTTGCAAAATCAAATCTTTTACATCTGTACGAGCAAAATACTACTCTGCGTAGAGGGTGCATGTCCCGGAGGTGACCACTAGGGACGCACTTTATCATATAAATTAGCTTTTATATACGTAATCCTGGTCAGATCGGGCTGCCAATTCGTCGCCGTGACGCTTGTGGGACTGGCGCCCGGGAGGCGGTCGCAAGAGGGGCGAGGCCTTTCATCGCCGCTTGCGGCTTTAATTTCAACAACTTTATTCTCATAATATTTTGACTTTAAAGTCAAAATTGTATGACTTTAATCTGACAAAAGAAGAAAATAGGGTGACACTAGCATTTTTTCTGTTTCCTCTGACGTCTGCACATGACCCTGCAGTCCCTTTTTTGTTACCTATGCTAAGTACCTATGCTAATGAATCACCTGGCACGCGCGCTCAATTTACGAGGAGTTGGCATTCATCAACCAAGCTGCGAACAATTCAGCGTCTTAAGAGCGCGTTAAAGAATCCCACATAGGGTCTTCGTAGAAATCTACTCAAGAATGACTTGAGAAGAAATTTAAGAAAATTCTTAAGATATTGGTGAATGAGGCCCAATATTCTGAAGTATTTTAGCGCAAGATCACTTAAATGGAAAACTCACTTGACGTCTGGAGGTTCGAGAAGTGTTTTGATGACTCCAGCGTAAGTGGCCATAATGGAGAGAACCACACAGGACAAAAATACAAGAGCCAGTTTGTTTACATATCTATAAGACAATAGGAGAACATACAGTTACTTACTGACAGACTAACAGACAGACAATTAATATCAATAAAAAAATGGAACTGTATCACACCAAATCCAAATTAAATGGATTTCTTTACAGAAGTAATTTTGCATACCTTTAAAATATACTCTTAAAAAGTAATTAATCTACTACATTCTGTTTTAATGAGTTGGTATCATCTCAAAGTTACATGCAGTGATTAAACATATCTCCCAAGCCAAACCAAACGGCAGACGTCAACTGACTTGGACTCTAGCACAGAGTATGTTTAGATCAGGTTGACTATGTTTTGTTTTACTTCAGTCAAAGGCAGTGTGGTTTTGCCAAAAGCTGTGGTGGCTCAGCCTTCCAAAACCCTGCACACCAACTCAAGTCAGGGTAACCAAGCGCATTTGTTTTGAGCATATTGTCACATTTTTTACCAATCCCATGTTCACTGTAATATTTATAAAGCAACTAATACGTACTTTATATCATGCAATACTTACTTGACTCCAACAAAGACGACCAGTGCCATAATAAGCAAACAGCCCGTGCCAAAAACTCTCATGTTATTGGCCCAAGCTGTGGCCTCACCCGCTATATTTTCAGCTTCAAATATTCTTGTGGATGGAACAATGTAGGTCTAAGAGAAAATGATGAAGAGTATGTTAGAATCTATAGATAAGCTAATAAATAAAGTATGCCTTGATAAATTGCCATCATACCAGTAGAATCTCAATAGTTCCCAAAATATACATGGAACCAGCAAAAGTTGTCCCAAGGTAGAAGCACAGGCCCACTGCTCCTCCAAACTCCGGACCCAAAGATCGGGAAATCATGTAGTAGGATCCACCAGCTAAAATACATCTCAATTATATTAAATACATCTAAAAATTTTAAAATCATCATTTACACACTGGCCTAGTGCGAGCTGAAACAAGTAAGTATTAATTATGATGCATTGTTGCCTACAGCTCTTACAGAGAACACATTACACAATCTGCAGAGTGTAATGTACAAATTCAAATCTTGTACTCTATTTTGGATTGGATTTTATGTTGTAGTTGCTCATTAACATTTAAGCTGTTAAAATGAAATCATAATTAACATTAACCGATAATGCATTTTGCATACCTGGAACAACTCCATTAGTGGCAATAGCACTCATTGAGATGGCAGTTAGCAAAGTCTGAAAGGAGAGAAAAAGGAAACATAATAATTACGTTGGCAGTTTTGTGCGTTTACTCCCAAAAAAATCCTCAAATGTGAATGCACATTTTACAAATCACACTAACTTTATAATTTTGAAATATTTCAAGAAGAATATGATACATTTTATGATACATTTTTTGGTATTGAGCAACCAAAGAGCACCGTGTATTGGCTACATGGGGCTTCACCCCATGCAGTCACACGCGTATGCACAAATTAAGTGCGGAAAATTTAAGGATAAAATCTTTCAAGAAGTTCTGTAAAAATTCTCCTGTGCAAGTACTAATCATGCCTTTTGCTTCTGGAATCAGGTGTAATCTGGAATGTTGTGATGTGACCATTAAATCTCTTTTCAAGAGTTGGTGGGCAGGATGGTGTCTGCTGTATTTTGTGAGTCTCGATATCACATGAGTTCTGTGCATAAAGCTCAGGCCTCTCTAACAGTTGCCCCTCTGTTTCCTCGTCTGCTGCCAGTGACGTACAAAAAGTGGCTGTAAATAAGATACTAATTATATGGTTATTACAAAATTCCTCCACTCAGCTCATGCACAAACTGATATCGGCTGCTCATCACAAGTGACGCTAATTGACCAACATCAAAATGATTTGTGCTTCGATTGCAAATGGTACATCTATAGTATTCCATTGATTCTTTATTTAGAATTGGAACATTTTAGAAAGTTAACATCGAACTAAAGATTATTGGGTAAACTTTAAATTTAATGCTTGACTTATCGGTGAAACCTGAGAATATGTATTATACTCACATGAAGCAATATTAAACTGTAGCTGTAAAGACAAGTGTGTGAATGTGTAAATTATATAGATAGACAGATAAGATGGTGAGTGAGGGCAGTAATTCCCAATGAATACAAAAGTAAAATCTGCCTAAATCTTTGAAAGCTTGGCCGATTATTCAATTTAAATCAGCAAATCAATGCCTTGTTTGGTCCTAAATTTTAATATATTCAATTAAAGACAGTAGAAAAATGTTTCTGACAAATGGGTGTTACGGTTGATCATGACTTAACATTTTACGTGAAGCGAATGAGACCTGTCACGATATAATGTTGATGCAATAGCTTATAATTAATAAAACAAATACAATTGTTTTTTTGTTGCAGGGCAGACCTTTTAATAATACCATTTAGTACTCAATTGATATTGTCATATGCTTAAAGTAGTTTCAACACTTGTGCTTGGACACATTTCATCGTGCCAGACTGTTGTTTATTACTAAATAGATATTCCCTATGACTTACACAGATGCAGCACATGGAGACTATGGCGAAGGAGCCCAAGATCCCAGCTGTCCCCACAATCCAGGCCAGACGGATGAAGAGGATAACCCCCAGAATGTTCTGCATACACGGCAGGTACACGCCGATGAACGTGCCCATCGGGGGGACCTGCAAAAACACATAAAACACTAAATCAGGAAAAGACTTTACCACTTTGGAACATAAAATAAATCATTCAGGGCTGTCCAAATTAGTCGACTCAGCACGACCAATAAACAGTAGAATTTTGGTAATAATCAGACCCTTCTTATATTGTCATCAGTATCTGACTTTATTTTTGTGTTGTCAGAATTTATTTTGACACACACAAACATATTAAACTTTATAACACATTCTCGCTTCTACGCAAGAAGGTCCCGAGTTCGAATCCTAGTCGGAACAGGGTCTTGTGGAACAACCACTAAAAACATGTACAATAGGTCAAATCCTCCAGCTCCGATAGTCCTAACCAAGTCGAGAGTCAACATCTGGAGACAGAGAGGCCCAAGTGGCATTGCACGATGGTTCAAAAGCAGAGGACAAAGTTCCGTACGGGTATAAATAAAGTGTACATTAACATTTTACGGTTATACACACACAACTTTAATTGAATTTAAATTAATTCCCGTCTACGTGTGAATAGTTTTTGTATACCCTCAGGAAATTTCTTTTTCATTTGCTTTATATGATATTAGGGCAGTTCTGTATTCTACCAGTCCTTTGAATTTAAGAACAGTAAACAGTTTGTTATTATTGTGATGTAAAAAGCCTGCTTGGTGTACAATCTGTGAGAAAATTTCAAATAAGGCCGCACATCCTTGTAGTCTGGGCTTGCGTGCTGGATTATAAGATGCAAGACGTAAAATCAGTGAAAAAATGCCGCAAAGCTATGTAGCTCCCAATCAGTGTATTTTATTTACACACCAAACTGTAAAGTTTCGGGCACGAGGCCCTTCGAAACGTTAGTTTGGTGTGTAAATAAAATACACTGGTGTACAATCTGTATCACTTTTTAATTTTATTTGGACATTTATTCCAGTCTAAGAACCTTAATTTGCCACTGTTCAAACTTTTGAAAATTGTTTAAAATCCTGAACAAACCATAATTATAATATCGCAAAAATAATAGTCTTTAAGTCGCATCCACCAATTATTTATGTAGAAATATCAATTACATTTAAATCATTTAGAAGTGAAGATAAATAATTATATTTTTAGCTGGAACAAGAGAATAGTTCAGTTTTTGTCCCTCAGGCAACAGCTTCATCTTTCATGTCTGAATGGCAATAGTGAGCTGGTTATAGCGCCACAAACCCGTACTTGTTATTGTATGAGTATCGCCACTGTTTTCTCCCAGTGTGTAGCATTTCAAAAACGGTCCAGTCTGTGTGTGTTACCTACCCTTTTCCGATTCACCCCCAGTTTGTCCTGTGTTTTCCCCATTTGCATCGGTATGTCAAAATGTTGGGAGGTTCCATAAGCAGATCTCGAAATATCCCACATCCTCTGCGCTCCTCTCTGTTGCGCTCGTTGTGTTTTCTCTCACTGCATCCTCTGTGCAACCGATTTTTATACTGTCATGCTTTTCATCACTTTAAGAACCAGCCATCACAAAAGGGGCAGGGTTAAAATAGGCTTTCTTTGCCCTGCGCTTATTCACTCAGTGGCTTCAGACACAGACAGAAGAAAATGTAAGTGATGTGTCCTAATCTGTGTCATTGCATGTGATTTGATGCCTTATAGTAGTTGGCCACATTTTGAGGGAAATTTCCGTTATAAAAAAAGAGATGTGAATAAATAAGATGGAATGCAACATTTTATTTTGATATGCTTATTAATTCATGTCTTATTTATGAAGGTTGTCCTCTAATCTTTCTTTGAGACGAGCAGGAGGTGACTTTACCATAGACAACTTACATGTTGCATGTGTTTAACTGATCATGTGCCTGGCTGACAGACATTAAGTCTCTTTCAGACCTTTTTTCCTTTTTGTCTGTATCGGTGTTTATCTGGAAGTTCTATAAAAAAGGTTATCCATCTCTCGAACACCAGAGCCTCAGGCCAGTGGGGACTATGTGGTTCCAAGTTCAGAACATCTTTTGGACATTCCACCTTTTCCTCTAGTGGAGCCAGACTGTGGAATGCTTTTCCCAATGCTTGTACATTTGTACATTTTATTTTATAAAATATATTATTTATGGCCAAATGCTGAAAGTTAACATGGTCTTGCTATAACACTAAAGGCAGTGCATCTGGTCTGTCCAATGTAACTGCTATGTCCATATCAAATAAATATATTGTTTTTTTTTTGTAATATATTAAATGTAACTATTATTTTCTAAATGTTTCAATAATAACCTGAACAGAGTGCCATCATTAATAATTACACATGTAAATTGCGACATCTCAAATGAAATATGTATTCCTGGATTTCAAATGTTTTCTCCCTTTGTTCAAAGAAAAGGGGGAGAAAATACACATTGTAATACTCTCCAGTAACATATTATGGTGTAGAAATCCCCATTGATTACTTTTTGGTCAGTTCCAATTTAACAAATGTTTTATGAGTTGCATTAAAGTGATGCAAAAGACAGTGGAGTAGATTAGATCAGTCTTTCTCCATTAGATTAATGATAAATATAATTGTAAGAATCATTGCGGTAACAAACCAATCAAATACAAATTTTTCATAAATTGATTTTGAAGCGAGTAGTGACAGAGACTTGCAAAAGATATTGGTATTTTATCTGAAAGATAAACTTTATTAAAGTGTGATGAAACTTTGTATTGTATTTGAAACTATCAATGTCACAGTTTTTCATTGTGAAATTTGAGTGGTTTGTATTATATTTTTGCACTTTATTTAAAACATTTTAATATATATCAAACGCTCCCTGACAGTGTATCCTTTGGCAGAAAAATTCCCAACTCTTTTTGGTACATTGGGACTTTTAGGTCAAAGACAAATGTCTTCTGTTTTAAAGGGTGGATGCAAGACTGTCATAAATGCAATCAGCTTTGCTCATAATGCATTCCTTATTGACTTATTTTACAAGTATCTTTATCTCCTGAGGACAATCTGAAAGATCAAAGTCTACATTAAACCAAGTGAAATGCATAAAAATTATGACTCTGTACTACAAAAGCTTGGGAATGTTAAAAAATAAACTTCTTTATATCGGTCAACTTAAGCATTGCAAAGAACTGGAACTAAAATGTAATCTGAATTACAGATCAAAGGGAAGACAATTCAAAGTCTTAGCTGTAAACTGAGTCAAAACATTGAATATATTCATAACTAAAAATCAGATCTCTTCTAACATATTTGTATAAATTCTGGATTACCCTTTTCTTCGTACGTCTTTTATTTACCGGTGATAAGAAACAATTCACATTACTCTCTGAAAAGTTCTTATGTACTGGATCAAAAAGTGTCATAAATGTGGTCACTTTTTGACCACGTAGTTATCAAATGATTATATACACATACTATTGTATAACTCTTAATGCAATTGTGTTGACTTGTGTTCATTCTAAATGTAATTAAATACAATTTATTTTGTAAAACTAATCTACAAACCTAATTTACAGCAGCAGTCATATCTGGGGACTTTACAAAGTTGTCAATTTGCCAACAATAGATAGATAAACAATTAAAACACAGGTAATGCAATAATAAAACAGGGTGACCATTGTCTGTATACAGTAAATAAAACGTTCAGTTAATAAAGAACCTTAAGAATCTGCACACATTGGGTTTGCATTCAATCAGATGCCTGGACAAACCGCAGCTGCCTTTGCAACCACGTTTGCAAGACCCCTGTCACGGCACAAAGCTGACCCCATCGGAAAAAACACCCATATAAGGAAATCAATTCCAGCATGCTCATGTTCAAAACGTTTCTTCTGCATTTGGCAAACACTATCTATGACGTCAGCACTCGCTCAGTCCACTCCAAGTATCTGATCTATGGAGTCTACTTTTAAGATAAACACGTACAAAATCATGTGTAATTATTCTGTGTGGTTACCTTGACGGTGACTTTCCTGACTCCATCTTCATACTCCTCATGCTCGCGGACGCCCTGTGTGAGGTTGGTGTAGTTGGCCAGTCTACTAAGAAGAGAAGACACCATGGGGGCACTGTCCATCTCCTCCTACACAGAGGCACAGCATAGGGAGCATTTAGAAGTTAATCTTTAGGCATTTTAAATCTTTTTTTTTTTTTTTAAGCTATGTATGATTATCTAAAGTGATTTGACATTAGATAATTGAGACATTAACATTGAATGCTTACTCAGAATGTTATCAATGTAATTTGCCATTCAACCTAACCTGAATGTATTCTATTTTTTATTATGGGCAATAAAACAGTAAATTATATTACAATTATATTTCCAATAATTATAGTGTAGCCACACAGTTGAAAAGGAGCGGAATAACATGAATGCTCCCTTCTCATTCATGTACAAAATACAAATTGTTTAAAAATGGAATGTGACACTCCTTGACAGGTTTTAGTTTTTGAAGGTTATGTATTTATTTACTATTATTAATTTGTTCCACATTTGCCATTATTAATTTCATCTGATTTCATGTGAATGTTTGTGGAGCTCTTCATTTCATATTTAACTGAATTCCACAGTTGTACACTGACAGTTATATTCCCATTTGTTTCTAGGTGGTTCTGGCAGAGAGAGTGTATTGTAATGTATATATATGTATATAAAAAAAAAAATCATGTTTGTAAAGTTCAATAATAATCCTTTTGTCACACCTCAAACAAGGCCATGTTCTTTCCATCGTAGTCTGGTTCACTGACATTGTCCGAGTTGAGAAAGGGAGTGGACTCTTTTTGGTCTTCATCATTATCTGTAGAGAAAAATTAAAAAATAGTTAAGAGCTAAAACGCATATTTGCATCTTGTCAAAACCATTTTTACTACAGTCACTCATTATTAGGGGTTTTTCGATAAATCGCGATACTTTCTCCCGCGATTCGATTATCGATATGCATTTGCCAAGTATCGATATCGATTTTGGAAAAAAAAAAAATCTTTTTTTTTTTTCTTTCTTTTTTACTATTTTTTTTAAATTGGTATCAATACTTAATATATGGCTACATTACGCATCTCCATTCTATTTATCATGAAATATAATTTTTCTTTTATTTATGCCATAAATTGGCATATTGTATATTTCTGACCAATATATCAATAATCGTCATATCGTGACAATATCGTTATCGTGTTATTGTGATATTTTCGTTATCGTGAGCTTTGTATCGTGTATTGTATCGTATCGTATCGTGAGGTACCCTTAGGTTCCCAACCCTACTCATTATATATAAGGACTTCCAACGTTGCTCACAGCCTGTTTTTTACTGTTACCGTATATATTATTTATATTAATTATATTTACTTTTTTCAGAATCCAGTTACAAGTAATGCCAATGCATCACGTAAAGTAATAACTACAGTCTTGTAGCCACACCTCTTATCCTCAGACCAAAATTACCAAATTTACTCTGAAGGTCATGTTTATCAGGACACACAAATTCACACAAAAGGGAATATCTGTTTTTTTTTTTTTTTTTTTAAAGATGCTTGACAACTAAATATAAAGTTTCCTTCGCGACATTTCCCTTGTTTGTTGCCAGATCCAGTTGGCAACAAGCCCAACAAGCTCCAAGAACAATGACCACAAATTCAATGGCATAAGATCTATTAAAAGTTAAAACACCCAGGGTTGATTTTGCTTAGTCAGTTATTTTTCTGAACATTGACCTGTGAAAAACATTAACCTTTGTAAATAACATGTCCCAAATGTGGGACTAATGCAAGGTCTAAAGAATTCTAACCAAAATATTTCAAATCAATATAAAAGAATATATATTGTATACAGTAGATAAACCCAGAGCCGATGGTGGTCAGTGGTCATACGAAGCCACTTTGGAAAAAGCCAGTACACACAAAGTTGTGTTTATGCAGATACAATCTTGTCTGATCAGCGCTGGATGCCAACATAACTTGATGAAAACTGCAGGTTCTTTAACCATGTTATCAACAATACTTTATTTGTGGCCAATATAACAAAGTACAGATTTATTTGGGCTTCCTCATACCTCATTAATTCTATGCATATATATAATGTAATAGAAATTATAATATTCAGGTATATCACAATGCATAGAATTGATTACACTTAAAGTCAGCGTTTCTATAACTTAAGTTTGTGTATCATTAGTTGTACTTGAATTAATTTTGCTAATTTAATTCTTATGCAGTTAAAATATTGTCATGATTTTTCTGTATTTCAATCTAAAAAAAAATCTCTTCAAAGTTAATATCACTACAGGCGTTTCAGTCCCGTTTAGCCCTCGACCCAGTTTTATCGGTCATACTTTATTTTTATGGTGGCACCATGGCAAATGGTTTCCGTGGTGGTAGTTAATGTTAGAAGTTTGACAACCACTGTTTTTGTGTTTTTTCTGAAAACTTGTTGCGTCCATAAGAAAAGACACTTCATATTGTTGTCTAGTATGAATCTTGTGGGTACGTGTGATTGTGGTGCCCTGAAGCGCTGGTGGCAGAGCTGCAATTTGCCACTACCCCACTTCCGTGGCTACTGGCCACAATAACAGATTACAAGCAACACGATTGGTGGTAATCTGAAAGTGACTGTCTGTGATACGTGCTATAGATTAGAAGTGCACAGATCCATCTTATTCTGATGTCTAAACTGATGTAGATTCTTTTGGCTTTCAATGTTGGTCTATTCTTGATATGAACTGATTTCCTCTAACATCACATCAAATGAATGAAAGAAATCGGTCCAATTATATTCATGAAGTACTTTGGTTTTGCACGAGTATTGATATGACGTTAAATTTATGGGTTATTATGAGGGACAAATGAGAGTTCTCTTATCCTTAAATTATCGAATCATAAAATATTGGATAATATCTATCAAATAATAATTGAATAAAGCTACAGTACAAAGCATAGACCAGCATATACATATTTATATGCAACTACTAATATAATGTCCATTTCTACGTGGCTTTCCTTCTGGAATGTAGGATACCATTTAAATTGAATTAGTATAGTATAATTATAGAGTTAACAGGAAACGGTGGATTTTACTGAATCCACCTAGAACAGTACTTATGTGAAAGACCAAATAAACCCATGTTCAACGAAAGTTTGAACAACATAAAAACTAAAAAAGTTTAATACAAATTAAACTCCTGAAACAAACCCTAAATATATTTGTGTTTTTTAAATCACAATATCAGAATATAGCAATGTGATGTGTATTGTGTCTAGACATCAGCCATGTCTGGGTTTATATCTATGTAAAACCTAGAGATAAATAGAGAATGAAATCTTGTTTTGTGTCTGTGCTTTTAGAGCAATATTTCTTTTAATATGAAAGGTTAACAGCAAAATCTGTAATCTAAATCAGTCACGTCTAAGATATAAATAAAGTAATCTTATGCAGTTGATCCTCTCGACTTTAACCAGAATTCAGAAATTATTGTTAGTTTAAGGCTAAATAACTAACCCGTTTCCTCATAATTTTAATATAAAAAGAAAATACATGGTACGTGTAGAATAACTAGCCTATGCATTCAAAATATAGAGATAAACTTGTAAACAACCATGAAACAGCCCCAGCGCTCTAATCCAGCAGCGTTATGTCTTTAATTTTCTTTGACCTATTCTCAATGTTGTCTTGCAAGTTTCAGCACGCACATAATGACGTCACTTTCAAACACCGAGTCCTTGACTGAAGCAAGCACCTGCCAGAACATGCATATTGTAAGTTATTAACACATTCTATGGATATTTATGCACACAAGTGAAAGCCTTTGTTTTTTGTCTTTCACACATAATGAGTTTGCGATGTGTCAGCAGTCCTACCTGTATGATCCCCTTGCTGCTGGTTGTCAACTGTAGCTTCTTGTCCACTTCTTTCAAATATTTGTCCTAAACTCACAGGTTTTGCCTCTGGGGAGCTGGAAGCATTACTGCTGCTTGGTGCATCTTCTACAGGAACAACTGTGAAATTGGTCGGCATTTTGGCTCCTTTCCCCCAGCAAGAAGACAAAAGCAATGATTCACAAGCTGACCTTAGCTGCTCTCACTCTGCAGTTCCAAAAGAAAGTAAAATCCAGGACATTGGAATGAATTGAAGGCGGAAAATCCACATGGTATTCACATCAGAGGTATTCTTCTAACATGTTGTGCTCCTTGTGTTTTTGTAGTAATCCAATGCCCTCAAAATGTAGAGAAAAGTACCGCCTCTCACACATGGGCCAAAGTCTTCCTGTGTCTTGTGTTTTTTTCTCTCTTTTCCTTTCCCTCCCTTTGCCCCCACAGACTGAAGATTATTACCCCATGTGACCTACTCTTTACCATATGAACAGAACAGCAGCAGCACATACAAGACCGGCTCCTCCCACGTCTCCCAGTCACACCTTCAACCAAAGAAAAGCAGTAAAGAGTACTTCAAGGCTTCTGAAAAGTATGTTAGAACCACGCAGACAGCTTATTCTAACATGTTTTCCATTCGAGGTCCAAGTTTTGCCTCAATCCAGATCCACTGAGCATTTCATTTCCTTCTCTTGCAGGCTGGCATGTTCCTCAGCTCTGGCTTCCTCCAGGTAAACAATGTGGGCGTTACCTTTCCCACAATGCATTATGGGTATTTAAAAGACAGTACAGCCAAGTTATTGGCCACATGCACACACACACACACACACTCACATTGTGCCAGCAATAGGAAAGGAAGCACCTTGACAAGATGGGAAACGTTCCCTTGAGAAGGCTTCTACCTTTTAGTTCAAAAAGGAAATGTCTGGGGCTGTAAACAATAGTGAGGTATTAACTATTTAAATACTCCAGTGTGTGGGAATGGAATTTTATTGGCACTTGTGATAACTTGCGATTTGGACTACAATGTTTTATGAAAAATTAAAATAATTATGCAATAACATATCCACGGCAAAATTGTTTCACACCAAACCACTTAAAGCTACTTTGTCCACTAAGAACTTTTCATTCATTATGGCCTTCTGAATTCATAATTTGTGAGTCGATTATGAAGATTAGTGGCTGGAAGCTAAGTAAAGTATATGTATAAATTATATACTATATTTTTAAGTTACAGTAAGAGTCAAAGATGAGGAGATGTGCTCCTTCTGCTGAAACCAGTGAGAGGTTTTTTTAATTGAGACCAGGGAGGAGATACTGAAGTCATGACAAAATATAATGAGGGTATTAATATGGCTGTTATCTGTAAATGTTGTGTCCAAGACTGACGATATCCATATGCTGGAGTGGAGAGGAATGCCATCTGCTGCGCCAACAGAGGCATGCATGGAAAAAATTTAAGAGAAAAACATTTCAGTTCTGTTTCCACCACAGAAAAAAACCGTATCTAATGCTCTGTTATTATCATGATCTTCCACAGTCCTTTATTGATATGTAATTGCCATTGATTTGTTACTGCTAATAAGTATTGTACCTCTTGCCTTGTGGCACTTAACATTTCAATGTGAACTCAAAGGGGCTCATGCATCATGTCCTTACCACATACCTTTAAGCTTATATAATTTTACTAGACCTTTAAACCACATTTAGGACAATAATCCAATGTCGAAACCTAATTTAAGATGGAAGAACTTTTATAAAATGTGTTTCTCACAACAAAATCCTCTTGTAAAGTAAAATGTAATGGAAAAATCAGGCTTCAACATGCTGTTTCATCTTATTATCTTGTGTATACCTGTAAGAAAGAGCCCGGTGAGTCACAAGTGAAAATTACATTTACATTGAATGAAACATCACATGCAAAACTCATTTCTACAGCTGAGTTCAATTTCTCATCTCCACTGAACCCACTCCCAATACCATTGAAAAAACATTTGCTCTGCTTTATTCCTCTAAGTGATGCATAATAATGCATTTCCACACAGTATAATTGGTGTGTGACTGTTATTATAATCCCACATTATAAAAAAGTATTTACATCTTTTAAACCAGAAGATGGCGCCAGCAGTTAATATAGATGGAAAGAGACACGTTTTCCTTTTCTTTTAAAACAATGTATTATAGAAGTGAATGTGCCGTGATTATTTATGTTTTTAATTTTATGTTTTTGGTTTGCTTTGTCAAAGTAATATTACATAAAGACATATTTTACTAATCTAACATTCAGAAACAGTTTTTGCATAATGCATAGACATACATTAACATAATACATTTCCTCACTCATAGGAAAAAGAGGTGGAGCAATGAAACCCAAAACAGATCCCATACGGAAATTAAACAGTTTTTTGTTCCACGCTCTCTAAAGAGGAAGTGTCTGATAAGCCAATTACCCTTGCTGGTCAACAGCTACAGATCATGTTCTGCCTGGATACAGTATACTGTAACTCTCTGTTGAAATTGATTATTTTGTCAGCTAAAGGATGACTTTTTATTTAATTGATTTAAATTCTATTCAGATTAAACGGTGAACAATACTTTTTTTTGCAAAAAGCATGTGTCCTTTAGTACAGTTTCATAGTATCAATTTGTAATGCCCTATTTTAAAGTAACTGAGTTGGTCTTTTGCTGAGCAAAAGAAACCCATAATTCAATGTCCTGTATTCTACAGAAGGACTGAGCACGGAGCAGGAGGTTTTTGACAGATGTAGGGACAGACTTAAGGAGCCTCCATCTGAACCCCTTCCATCCACTTATACCAGGATGCTCGCTGACCGTCCCACTCCAGCACCAGCTCAGAGGTTCCTACCGGGTTAGGGCAACTGCAAGGTTATTCTTTCACATCTACTGCTGTTGCATGGTTCAGACACCTCACACTATTCTTCCTGCGCTCACACTCAAATCCCAAACATTTTCTTAAAAACACCTGGTGACCTGTGTCACCAGTGTACAACCTGTTAGGACAATAACAACAATCAACTCTTTGTGATTCCATCATAATACCGAATGGGAGGTTGAGGACGAGCTGCAGATAGGGGAGGCAACAGACTTGACAGTGACATCTTCAGAGGTAATAGGGCGGACTTTCTTCTGTTTCTCATGCTATGGGACAGGATGCTCCTGAAGAGCGAGGTGGCCATCTGAGACAACAGAGCTGTTCGAGGTGCAGTGGTTAGTGAACAGACACAGTATTAAAACTAAAAATAATTTTACATTTGAATGTTATGTGTTGCTCACAGATAATATGGGAGACCAGTGAACACGTTTGTATCCATTAACGTCACTAATGCCAAAGTAAAGACATCCTGTTTAGTGATCTGTGGTTGCATGGCTCCCTCTGACGGACACAGTTGGAAACTCTAAGTACTTTCTGAATGTATTATTTTCAAATGTTGTATTTCTCTGCCATTACCTTTTTGTCTGTATATTGAATTTCAGTCACAGAATGCTGTAAATATAAATACATACAATAATGAAGATTTAAAACAAAATTATTTATTAAAAAACATGTTTTATGCTTTCTCAATTAAATATATCATCTTTATTAGTACATTCCAAAGTCTGGATTTCCTCCGTACTTATCAAACTTTTGTAAGATAAGAGTGTAAAAGTGCAATAACAGTAAAATAGGGGTGTAATTGGTGTAATAGCAGTGCTCTCCGCAAGTGTGACTGAAGTATGATTTTCTTTTTGTCTGATCGTTCTTTTCTGAATGTTTCTGAAATGTTTTGTTTTGTTTGTTGTATGCAGTCAGTCACTATGGTTTCATCCAATTGAGTGAGTACTTTTCTTTGACAGACTGTATTGCTTACTTCCTCTAGCCTCTATGCACGTGTGTGTACATACGTGCTGTTTATAGAGCCGTTTGACAGGAAGCTCCCACTGGCTTTCACTAAATTCCTCACATGACTCCTCTGGACCTCAGCTTATCGGTTGTGCTGGTGTGATATCACTTGGCCTATGACTGAACCAGCATGCTGTCTTCTTCTAGGACAAAACTGCCATTTTATATGCCTCACATGGCTCGAGTGTGAATGTTGAAAAAAGGTGAAAGCGAGAGAGGTAGAGGTGAAATCAAATCCCTTTAGCAAACAGCAAAAAGGTCAGTGCTGACGCAGACTAGGGAACAGGCTGCGCTCCCTCAAGACTATACTCTTAAGTGGTGAATTTCTATTTGTGGCACTCATGTTTACCAATCGCCCAAATCCAAAATCAGGCAGGCATGCAAACAAACTGGAGGTTTTGTGTCATCATTAATATCAACTGCCTCCACTCTACTTTACAACCACAGGATGTAAAATAACAATTACTGCAAGCCTCCAAATAACATTGACTTCATAATATTACTTACAAAATCTCATAACATCTATTTTTCTTCTTCATAAATCTAAACATAGAGCAGTCTTGCCAGGTCTTATTGCAGTTTCATAGGGGAATTTTCATAACTGACACCAGTGTGGCCACATAAATACCACAACCAAATACAAAATCATTTTAGCTTTTCATTAAATAATAAATCCAGTTTCAAGGTCAACATACTCGGGAAACATATACAGTGTGTGCCTTGTCCAAACTTCGCCATCTTGTGTCTATTTCTCTCCTGGCATACACACACTTGACAGAAATTTGATGTTCTTTCGTCACAGAGTCAAACAAAAATAAATGTCAAATAAGCTATCGTGAGCTTTGGTGAGATGTGACGAGGGCGTTCATAAAAAGGGAATTGATTGTTGACTTTGTTAGGATAGGGCAAAAGTAAATGTTTTTTTGGATCTGTACTATTTTATGAATTCAAATATAAAGCTTATCATCCCCAGATGTTGCTTGGCTTCGTCAGGACTTCACTCTAAGAACAGATCAAACCAAACGTGAATTTTTGTTTTCTTTACTTTACTCTAGTTAGGTGTCTTGATTGTTTTTTTGGGTTAAATAACCACTCTATAATGGTAATAATGATAATGCATTGCACTTCCTGTATTGCATTGTCAAATGCAAAGATGCTTTACATAACAATTCATTCACTCCGTAAATGGTGGTGGTGGTAAATGACTCAAGCAGGCTGACAGAAGTAATGCTACTAATCTTTGC